ATCCAATAAATTTTGCAAAAACAAAAAACAAAGTAGCAGACATAATAATATACATTTATACACTCGAAATTGATTTTGGAACAGGATACATTGAAAAGAAGGGGGTACAAATGTCTTCGCAACAGGATGGGGGCAGTACCTCAGCTGGCCGGCATCCTTTTTTCGGTAATGGCAGCTTTGGGTTAGATGCCTCTGTCATCATCATGTTCGGCTTACCTTAAAAGCTGGTTTGTTCAGCTTCTTTTTTCAGTCTTCTTTCACAGTAATTCAGCTTTGGTTTGTTTTTTCAGCCAAACGAACATCCAAACGAACATGGCCTGTATAGCTTCACCCAGTTATTGGAGAACAGATGCACATCTGAATATCTGGAGCCATAAAAGATGAATCTCTCTTTTTACCAACTGGTATTATGTATGCTTTCCTTTCATGATTTTTTGAATGTATGGACGTTAACCAAGTCATAGTACAGTGCTGCCAATGAATTGCATGCATCTTAACCCATGAAACATCTTGAAGGATAGGTACAAGAGAATTTCGGAGAACAAAGAAAGAGAACCTTATAACTTGGTAAACAGTAATACTAGTTTCTCATTAGTAATCACACAGGAACACTAAAAAAAATGAGAGCTCCCATTTCGAGTCAGTACCAGAACAAGGCCTACAATTCAACTCAGAATTTCCATTCAGCAGAACATAACAAAATTCACTAATATGCAGAAGAACAAAAGGTAAAAGCATCAGCAACACAGAAACTAAGATTATACAGTCAAAACATCGGTCGTCTAATGATCATCCGCCGAACCAACTATCCATGTCTCCATTCCCGTCTACTGTTAGGCTTTCCGAATGCACACTGCAGGGACGATGCACTGCATGTCACGAGATTCCAGCTCGTCCTGGGTTGACAATGCTAGTCATGGCAGAAGTGGGTCGACCTCCCGCTCTTAGCATTTCAAAGATGCCTCCTGTGATCTTTGTGCTGGCTGGCTCACCTAAGATGACCTGTCGCAGGGATCACGGGATACCGCACAATCCCAAGAGGCATTTTTGTGTTGTTATTAGGATTCTCTCCTGCTCCACCACCATCACAACTCGGTTCCAGCAAGCGCATTAGGGAAAGGAAGATTTCCATTCTAGTCACATCCCTGTTGGCCTGCATAAACACAGTAAAATAAGAACTTCCATAAAGCAGACAGTGGAGGAAGCAAAAGAAATCTGAAGTCATGAAAAACATATATATTATGACATGCTCTGAGGAGAAGCTATTCTAGCCTTCTGAGTTCTCAGCCAACCTAGAGAACTTTCATAATGCATTGAACTGCTTACCTCAACAGCGAACCGTGCCCAGATTTTATTTTTGCGTGCTTCCATAACACCCCTTAAGATGGTTAATCCTAGTCCTTTAATAAAGTCAGCTATCTCCAAGAAGATACCTCTATCCTCACAAAGCATCTACAGAGGCAACACCATCAGCAATATGCATGCATTGACAATAATAAGAGTTGAAAGAACCAGCAATAGCAGAATCATTTACCTCCACAAGCATCTGACGAGGCCGCTCAAGATCCTCGACAATGATTGGACATGTCATAGATTGACTACCAACATCAAAGGCCCAAGTTGCACCACCTTCGAAGTAGTCTTTAAGTGGACCATTCTCACCACCAAGAATCTGTTTGGAGTTTACCCATAGCCACACAACGCATTGCATGAGGTTAGTAACTATTACCTTCTCAAAAAGGCTGCAAATTAGATGACAAAATTAATAAATATGTGCATACCTTAGATTCACTTGAGTCCTTGAGGTTATCTGCATGCTTTGTCACACTTTGCAAGAAAAGCATGTGCTTAATGGTCTTCTCCAACAATGCATCAATGCTACACTGTTGACAAAAAATGCTGTGAGACTAACAGTCATTGCACAAGCATATAAAGTTTGAAACAAGTGCAATTGAACCTTAAATAATCCTAAATTCCTAACACACATTTGAAATTCACGAGTAGAAGAAGAGGATACCTTTGCGCCATTAGGTACAAGTTCCCGGAGCTCCTTTATACGATCCTGAATAAGCTGGCGGTCCTTTGGTCGTGGCTTAGGATTCTCTCCTGGTCGAGACCTCTTTCGACTTGCCTTGCTTGACGTATCAACACCCTTGCTGTTTGAGGCCGAGGCACTTTCACATTTCATGTTCTGTCCGCTCTCAATCCAGAGGCGTATCTGAGATTTCTGTATTGCATTATTTTGAGAAAGACAGCCATCCTCTGCCTTTTCTGGGAAAGATGACTGTTTAACAAAATTTGAAACGGCTAACTCATTGTTGATTAGCAGAGGAGCAACCTGCTTTGGCTCTTTTAAGCGACCACACGAAGTGCTAGGAATATCTGTCACTGAAGTCTTGCAAGAAGCACTGTCACCAGAGATCTGCTTGCCACCAGGATTGGCATTGGAGACAACTGCATCCAACAGTTGGTCGGTATCAGTCAGTGAGAAGATCCCAGAATAAGGGAACTCGTCATCCACTGAACTGAAGGCTGGAGAGGAACCAAGATGAACAGAGGATTCAGGTACATCTCTATTTGAACTCTCAGGTTTTGCAGCTTTCCAGGTAAGATCATTATCCACATTGCGCGGCACAAATGATGAAATTCGAACCAAACATGTCAAACAAATCACTTTCTGCAGCAGGATCCATAAGGAGCGGCGGTGATCTCTCATTAGATATGTCTGGGAGCCTGCGGCGATCCATATTCTTGACAGCTTGAACAATTGCATCAGTAGGGTCATGCACTTCATTAGCCTTTTTTGGGCCAATAAGATCTGAGGTACTCATCTGATTCTCTTGAGAAATGGCTGTTTTCAAGCCACCAGAAACCTGAATATCAGAGCCAGACGACAGAGCAGCAGAAGCTTGGCATGTCTCTCTCTTGGGACTCTCCGTTTTCCTAACAAATTGGGTAGATTGGGGCATTTTATATGAAACAGTTGGCCTGTGCCCTGTCATCCCAGAAGTAGAACTCCATCTTTGGTCTAAAATTTGATTTGCTATGCTGCCATACAGGTTACCCTTGACTACCCTAGTGCCTTCTGGGAGAAAATCAAAACCCCCATGGCCATTAACAAAACCTGGCACCTGGCCTCTGCCATGCAACAAAGTCATGTTTGTGTTCTCATGGACTAAAGGGTTACGGTATGCAAGAGATTTCAAGAGAACATTTCTGGGATCTGATGGTTCTCCAGGGTGTCCTTGTTCTAACTGTTCACTGTTGGTCATCAATGGATGCCTTTCCATTGATGCTGAGATAGATGAGATAAAACCAGAGCTCACAACACTACTTTGGGTGTTACTCTGAACTCTCCTGTCACAGTAAGGGTTTTGCGGTCTGAATCTCATGTCAGGAGCATATAGAATGTGTTCTTTACCCACTTGGCCATTTCTTTGTGCAACCATAAGCATTGAAGCATTACTGCCCATGTTTGCCAATGTACTACTAGACACAGTTGTGCCATCAGGACCATAACATTGTTGATATGTCATTGGGGATCCACTAAAAACCTTTGAGCGTGTATCTGCAGGGTATATACTTGTGGGGCCACTCAAAGGGCGTGACTGAACTTTCCGGTTCGAATCATTTTTAACAGATGACGATGAAGCCATACTCGACCGATTGTTCAGCTGAGAACACAGCTTCTTATACTGGAGCACAAGGTTGGTATTTTCCACTACCTGCCAGAAAACAAGCATTCATATAAGTTCTAACATGTCATAAGCATGGTTAGTAGAGTTAGCATAAAGAGATATCTGAGAATCTTTTTTTTTCTTATTTCTTTCACAGCAATCCTAAGTGCAAAAATAGAGCACAATTATCACAAGTTGTTTTTCTTTTCAGGGTTCCGCTACTGTCGACAAGAAGGTTGTCTCCTCGGATCTCACCACCATATAGTTTATATACAGAGATCAAGGGAACAGACATTTGACCAGTCAACAATGTAACACAGTCATAAAGTAGCACGTCATGGCCATACAATAATGACAGAGAACAACTTCAAGACATGTAGAACAATATATACTATATAGTAATCCCAGTTGCTAAAGCATGGATATCTTACCACACTTGTAGAGCCTAGCTGCAGTACACCTCGTGGTAACACAGGAATAATTGCAATAGTCTGCAGACAATAACTTATTGAGAGCTCCAAAGCAAACATTGTTTCAGTGAATAATCCACCATGCAAGGAAAAAAATCGTACTAACCTGAATGCCAGCTGCAAATTGATGATTCATCTCAGCGGCAAGCTATCATCGTAAGAAGAACATAATCAGTTTGGTGTTCCATCACAGAAGCTCATATTACAATTTAAAATCCCCCAAACAAACCAAACATTTATCTGCTTAGACAATAAGTAAGAAAGACCCCAAAGATATTGAGGAAATCCTCATGGTGCGTGCATGAAGAAAGGGAAATGCCATCATGGTTGACTTCAGCTCTAGGGCAAACCATACAAACAAGAACCTTGAAAGATGTCTCAACTTATTTCGCGTGTCTATTTGTGTGCTTTCGCAGCTAGCTTATCACAATGACAGCTTGCTCACAGAATAATAGACCAAACTCACTACATGCCAAAGTTTCAAGGCGTAGAACAAATACTCGAGGACAAAATAACCCCACAAGGACTTCTGCAGTGGCATAAATCCCTTGGCCTCACGCTTTAAATACTGTGACAGCAAAATGGACCACGGAAAAACTGAAATTGGGCTACATTTATATCAGTTCACAAGGGAAGGAGAAGGAATCGTACCTCGGGTCTGAGATTGTGATCATTGGCAGCAGGATCATGGACAATCCATTGATGATTTCCAGTGAAAGCAGCACGGCCAATGGTACTGAAGAGTACAAACACAGCATACATATATCAGTGAAGCTTGAACTTCTCCAACAAGGCCGAAGCACTTATTAGCAGCTAAGAACATTTTAACAAGCAAAACACAATTCGTGCTTACCCTTCACCAACAACATGAATTTGCGAGGCCATGACCTTCCTAACAAGCGTGCACACACTGGTGCCCGGCTCACACCCAGCTTCAGGAGCCTCAGATCCGGCGGAGCATGACGCGTGGCCGCAGCAACCGTCCTCCCACACCAAATGCCTGCACGTCACCGAGGCGAAGACACAAATCAGCAAAGAACCGCTGAATTCGTGCACTAAGCACATCATCACGAAGCTAAATGCGCAGCACATTAGCGTTACACAGAAATGCAAGCGCATTTCACGCATTCCCGCCCTTTTACACCCCAAGAACTCACACGCATTAGCACGATCTCAATGGGTACAGGTTCCAGTAAATTTGCAGCGGCGCCAAAAGTGCGTACACGTTCTTTGTTCGTTTGAAGTAAAGAGCTCCCATAACGGGAAGGATGTCGAGGAATATGCCCATCCGAATGTTCCCCACGCGCGCTTCGCTTGTCTAGCAGGCAAATCTAGCTGAAACGGAATGCGCAGCAAAACTCCAAAGCCCAAACCCGGGGAGCGAAAAGTTGCATACGAACGTTCCGAAAACAAATGGGATGGGATTTCTTCGCAAATCGAGCTGCAGGAGAAGCTTAAGATCCGAGAAAAACCGGGAGAGGAAAAAAAACAGGAGGAGGAAGGAGGGGCGGAGCTTACACAGGGTCGGCGGCGCCGATGGCCTTCCAGAAGACGGCGTAGGACCAGCCGACCTCCTCGCAGAGCCGGCGCAGCGCGTCCCCCACCGCCATCCCGGCGACGCAGGAAGAGAACCCTAGCTCCTCCGCGGGCCGCCGCCTGCAGTCCCCTTCTGAGCCTTCTCTCTGGCCTGCCTGGAACTGGAACAGGACGTGCGAGCAAACAAGCAAAGACGGGCGGCGGCGCCCTCCTCTAGGCGGCGCGGCGGCTGGCTCGCCCGGCCTGCTTCGCGCGGAGCCCGCCGGTTCTCCTCGTCCTCACGCTTCCCCTCGCCGCCGGCGCGCAGGCGCCCATCAGGGGGGCGGGCCCACTCCCAGCCTCCCAGCCAGCAGGCGCGGGTCCCAGCGTCAGCGTCCGCCGGGGGGGGGGCGCTTCGCTTCACGCGGCGGCGGCGGCGAGCGAGCCTGCCTGCCCCAGTGCTGGGGCTCCGGGGGCTGAAGCTGGGGCTGCTGCTGCCGTGCTGCGGCCTGCGGCTCGTCAATGAGCCTTCTAGGAGTGTGCCGTTATAAATGATGGTCGTGGCGTGAGTGCCACTGCCACGACACTTTACTTTTTTATCTTCCAAAATATTCCGTCCACTTTTTCAATCTACATGGGAAAAATGTTCCAAATACTCTCACGCTGCTTCTTCACCATGTCCTTCTTCATTTCCTCCGCCGGTCGTCTTCGCCTGCCCTCCACCGTCTTGCCGGGGCTGGGAGCCTCGCTGCGGCGCCAGTAAGGGGGAGGAGCTAGCCGACGGGCGCCGGGGGGCGGAGGCGGAGCCACCACCATGGAGCCGGGCTGGAGTGCAACCGGCCTCATGGACGTCGTGGTTTGGACGGAGCCTAGCCGCTTGCTGCCTCGTGCCTCCACCACCGGCGCGCCCACCGACGGCACCTGGCCGATTCCACCACCCGCCATCGCGACCGACAAGCACATGCGATGGTCGCCGACGGGCGCTGCGCCACTGGGTCAAGGCAGCGTCACACCGCCGGCATGCGAGCTCCTCGCCCACCTAAACTCGCCGGATCCAAATTTCAGTTGCATACGCCAAGGCCGCCTCAAGCCGAGGACGCGCCGCCTCGACCCTACGCGCGCCCCGGCACGGACAAATTCGAAGACGAAGACGGCAGGCGACCGGGAGGCCAAGCGGCGGTGTAGTCGGAACCAGCAGCGTTAGGGCGCGCTACCGAAAGCGGGCGGAGATGATGGCGAGACGGCGAGGGCGAGAAACACGCAGAGCGGGAGGAAGACCACCCAGGCGCGGTGAGGAGGAGGAGCTGGCAAGGCATGGGCGCGACGTAGTCACCGGCGAGCGCACCAGTGGAGGCTCGACGGGAGGCGAGGAGGAGCTGGCAAGGCATGGGCTGCTTGGGGGAGCTCGGCCTGTCGCTGGGCCAGGCTGCCTATGAAGCCGCGACTTTCGAAGCGAGGCCTCGACCACAAGCCGTCTTCACAGGCGGCGGCGCGGCCGGGCCGGGCTCGGGGGGCGGCGGCGAACGCCCGAGCGAACGCCGGCTTTGGGGCCGGCCGCATCGATCACGGACGCCGGCCCATCGGGGCCGCGGCCGGCGCATCGCAGATGTGAGCGGGAAAGGGGAGCCGAGCTCGCCGAACTTGGGAGGGGGCTCGCCGGAGTCGGGATGGGGTTCGCCGGAGTCGGGAGGCCGACGCATCGCGGAGAGGGCCGCGTGTGCGGAAGAAGATGCCGATGGAAAAAATATAGAGAACAGTTTACGCCTTGACATAAGGGTATTTTGGACGTTTTTACTGACTAGGCCCACGTGTCAGGGCTAGCAAACGGCAAAAATCAAACAGAAGGTGAACGGAATGGCTTGGGAAGAAAAAAAAAAGTAAAGTGACATAGCACATAGATACGTTCGGACTTTTTAGTGGCACGTAGGCCGCGACCATCTTTTTATAATGGCACACGGTTAAAACAGGCTGTTCGCTGGTTGATTTCTGGGCTGATAAGCTTGGCTGAAGCTATTTTATTGTGAGAAAAAAATATTATACCAACCCTGACCTATAACTGAAACCTATAAACGAACGTGCCGAAGCGAACAGGCTGAAAGGCTCCTCGTCAATGTCCTGGTGCGTCTTCTTCCTGGCTCGCTCGCTGGCTTTGGCTTCTTTGGCTTCTCACTTCTCTTCTCTTCTCGGGTTTGGGTGCTCTAGTGTGTTTTGGCTTTCTCTTTCTTGTTGCTTTGGTGTGCTCGCCCTTTTGCGTTTTCTCTTTCCTTTTTTTCTCCTCCCCTGCTCCCGAGGCAGGTATCATTCCCTCCACGAGGGGCAAAATCGGGATGCTGATGCTACCCTACGTTTTAGCCACATCATTTCATTTGTGCTGCCATTCACCACGATTCTGAGGATGTTTTACTTTTTCTATAGCAGGAGGTTTTTACTTTGACATCTCCATTTACGATCCACCATGATTCTGAGGATGTTTTTACTTTTTTTTATAGCAGGAGGTTTTTAATTTGACATCTCCATTTATGGGGTGCTTGATGCAGGGACTAAACTTTAAGAGGTGTCACATCGGATGTCGCATGGGGTGTTCGGATACTAATGAAAAAACAAATTACAAAATCCGTCAGTAATCCGCGAGATGAATTTATTAAGCCTAATTAATCCGTCGTTAGCACATATTTACTGTAGCACCACATTATCAAATCATGGACAACAACAACAACAAAGCCTCTAAGTCCCAAACAAATTGGGGTAGGCTTAATAAATTCGTCTCACAAAGTAGTCTCAATTTGTGCATTTAGTTTCGTAATTAGTCTATATTTAATACTCCATGCATGTGTCCAAATATCCGATGGGACAGCAACTAAAGTTTAAGAGGTGGAACCAAACACCCCCTTACAATTACATGATTTAGTCGCCTCTCAGATCGAGATTTTATTGTACTAATCCTCCTGTCCCAAAAAATAAAAATCTCCTTTTCGTCCCTTAGACAATAACGCGTTTAACCAAATACATAAAAAGGTATTCATATTTATGATGCATAAAAAGTATCACTATACTAATTATAAAAACTTATTTTATAATAAACATATTTGGAGATAGAATGTTGATACTATTTTTTAATAAATCTAGTTAAAATGAAAATTGTTTAGCTCTTTATGAAACAAGATTTCCATTCTTTTTTGGAGTTGAGGGAGTAGCAATAACAAAGAAACAAGAGGTGTGTTTGATCAGTTTATTGTTGTATTTCAAAGAAACAAAAGGCATGAGTGCAAGATCACTTTGTTTACCAAAATCTTAAGAGGGCACTCATTTCAAAGAAAATAAAAATGAATTTACTCCACCTTTTTGTCCTTTAAAAAGGTTCACTAATCTAAATAAAAACATAAAAGAATTCTACTGTATAGAAGCACTATGGCCAAAAAGGGCAGAATGATTGAAAAACGTACTTTCCTTGTTTATATTTTTAGTCCTTTTCTGAATCCAAGAATTTAAATTGACAAGTTCTTCTTCACCTAGAAAAAATAATCACTTAGAATAGCCAAAAATTAGACTCTTTCATAAACTGATGTAAAGATCAGTTAGTTTGTCATAGTTTCTATTTAGGAAAAGATAATAAGATGACATTAGACAAAATGAACTAAAGAAAAGTTTAGAATTTAACTATCTTTCCATATAAAACAGAAATCAATGTAAGAACGGAAATAAATAGTAGTAGATAGGAGGAAGATCCTAACAGAGATGGAACTATTTATATAAATGTGAGTTGTACGAAGGCGTACTATATTGTACTACAATCATGATTAGAAAACGATAGGCAATGTTCTTCTAATTCTTTTCTTTTCAAGAATTATTTTTCTAGTTCTTCTTATACTAAAAGCAAGTGACATTACAAAGCTTTCGTCACATTTGCCAATGAGCAGCAATCCTTTTTTTAAAATCACGCCAAGTAGCAATTCCTTTTTGAAAGCTTTACATACTATATTCAGAACCCTTCTAGAGAAGACAAATAGGATAATGTAAGCTAATCCAACAAATGGAATGTCGTGTACCAGATTTATACGTGAATTACAGATATGCCCTCGAGGATGCTGGACAATTGCAGCCCGTGCCAATATGGCCTTCAAAAGGTGGGCATGGAGTACAATTATGTGGTCGTGTATTCTTTTGAGGGAAGTGGTGGGGTAATTCTAAATTAACAAGCATATTAAGGCCTTGTTTAGTTTGCTTCAAAATTCCAAGTTTTTTCACTCTCTCTCCATCACATCAATTTTTAGCCGCTTGCATGGAGCATTAAATGTAGGTAAAAAAAATAACTAATTGCACAGTTTAGTTGGAAATCACGAGATGAATCTTTTGAGCTTAGTTGGTCCACGATTGGACAATATTTACCAAATAAGACGAAAACGCTACTATTCATCAGGTTGCAATTTTTTGCAATCTAAACATGGCCTAAATATTTTTTACTGAGGGGGGCAAAAGGCAGAGAAGTAAACAATCAGATGGCAGAGCCTGTCTTCTCTTAGCCTAATTGAAACATTTTCCAAAGGCTGTGTTAGCTGAGACGTATACCGTCTGTAAATAATTATTATATTAAAATAATCCTGCTAGCTTCTCTCACTGTCATGGTTGGACATGTCCTGATCCCCGCAGACACTGGTGGGTGGGCCTGAAAATATTCTGCCTGCACTGGGACCCACTGTTAGCTGGCATAGCCGCATCAGAGGTGTACACCTAGCACCTCTCTTTTTTTTATTTGCTATCTTTTTGCAGGGGACATTTCATAATGAGCTGCCTTGTGAGATCTTAGTTGTTTTTGAATGGAAGTCTGACTGACCCTGCTTTTTGTTAGAAAGATATGCTATTATAGGAAAAAGTCTACTTAATCCCCATCTTTCATATATGGTCTACTTTACCCCCAACTATGAAACCGTCTGTTGTACCCAATGAACTTTCCAAAACCGTATATTTTATCCCCCCGGCGGTTTTTGACAGCGGTTTTGCTACAGTAACAACGGGTTTGCTACAATAACGGTGGGTTTGCTATAGTGCCTGTGGGTTTGAATTTTCTTTTTTTTTAATTTATTTTTGATGAATTTTT